GAGTTGGGGCAGGGTCAACCGTCACGTTCGAACATTTTCGGGATTTTTGCGACCCCCTGTTTTTGTTAATAAGAGTGCTAGACATGAATCCGTTGCGCCAGAAAGCGTCTGTGCCGCCGCAGACAGCGTCTGCATTGCTGCGTCAGCCTTGGAGCGCGGCAGGTATCACCCGGGCGCTGGAAGAACGGGACGCGGCGAAGAAAAAATTTTAGAGGGGAATAACTTTCTTGGGACGTACTTTTTTGACTTGTTGAGGTAGATTTTGACTGTGCCTGAGGTGCGCTTCCAGAAAACTACAAGGATTGCCTAACTCTCCGGAAAGTACTTCTGTTAGAAGTGGAAAACCCAAAATTCTAAGAAGGCGCACCTTCAACTTTGAAGGCCCATAAAATCTTTCGTATGCGACATTTTGGAAATCTGTAAAAGTTTCAGAAACTTCAAATATTTCTCTAACAAAACAGTATAAAAAGTTTAGTGATTGTCCCCTTTTTCAAAAAATTGTCCCGTTCGAACATTTTTCGTGCAAAAGCGAGTTTTTGGGCTTTCAGCGACCATAACTCACTTCATTTTCATTTCTGTGATGCACTTTTTTCATGGGGTGAAAGTACAGGATTTGCTCTTTCTAACAAGCACCAAACCGTTTTTCAAAATTCATTTTTCGAGAAAATCACACGTTCGAACATTTTGTTCCCATAGGTTTTTGAGCAGCATGCGAGTTTTTGAGCTTTCAGCAATAATAACTTCCTTCAAAGAACTTGTTGGGGAGGGGCGAAGACATTTTTGAAGACTACGAGATTTCTGCTTTCTTATGTTTTACCGTTGTCTGGAAGAATCGTCCTCAGAAAATCAGGTCCCGAAGAACTTTAATTTCAGCCCCGAGAAGTCAAACCTTTCATAGGGATGCATTCAACTGTTCTCTTTTCCTCAAGGAAAACACCGTAATTTGCCTAAAACTGTCTCTCTGTGCATAATAATCGAATCTAATGCGGTCTGCACAAACAATTCTTGCCCTCGGATACGCCACGCACGCGCCTGTGGCTGGCAGTCCTCGAAATTGCGACCCCCTTCCGACCAAAATGCGACCCCTTCGTTCGAACAGTTCGAACGGACGGTTGATGGTGGATCCCTTGCACATGGCCTAACATTCGAGATTTAGCGTGAAGCCACAATGAGAATCCTTATCATTCTCTATGAGTTGAATTGTTGGATAAAAGAGGATGGAAGAAGCAGCCTTGAAATCTGAACCTAGGATGAAAAATTCTAACGCGTTTAACTGCTAGTGGATATGGAATTCACGACATTCATCTCGCCAATGGATCAGACGCATTTGGATGGCGGATCTAGCAGCAACACAACAAATAACGAAAATTTAACGGTCTTGTTTTTGACAAGTAACCGTAAAGTAGTTGTGGAACGATGAGAAGGAATAAAACTACTGTCTGTTATGAGTCACTCTTGAATAGCCTTTTCAGAGCTGCAAAATTAGGATTGAGGCGTTCGACAACGGCGGGTCGTTTACCAGCAGTACTACATGAAGAAAATTCGTCATAAAAGGATTGACATAGTTGAAAGATGAATGTAGAAATAGCAAGCAAGGAAAATAGGTGATCTGTGAAAAATCCAAAACAGCGAAGATGGTAACAGACATAGAAACAAAATCCTTCAGTCCTCCCAACCCTACCCCACCCCTCGTTGATTTTTGAAATTCGGACAAACCTAGCCGTTTCTGGCACTGAACAGAAAATCAGCGCCCTTCATTATTATGTGAGTAGTTTAAAATATAAGATCAACGAATAGTAAGATAATAATGATAAATAATAGAACCTGAGCAGAAAAATACCAGTTAGTTCACTAGTGAAGCAGACAGATTGAAATTTGAAATATTCCAGGTGGAAGATGATTATATAAAATGAGAAATGCAACTCATGGAGAAGAAAAAAGTAAAAGGGCAATTGCCCGAGTACGCAATATACACCAACTCCACAATGCTGTCGACGTTAAAATCACATATCATCTTACGGGAATATAATCTATGAACGCATGGTGCCAAGGAACACCCGGAAGTGAGAGGATTGTGTTCGTCGGTCAGGAGGCCCCTGTTGCGGCGGCAGAACGAAAGCGACGTCGCGCGCGCGACATTACAGTAGAACTTACGGCACCGAAGAACGAGGGAAGCTTCCAATTTGAAAAAAAAATCAGTCCCTGCCAACAAAAAAGAGCGGGCGTAATACTAATTAATTAATTTGACGCAAAAAAAGACGGATCGCAGTGGGTCAACAACTTGGAAATCTGCGCGTCTCCTCGATGTGGACCTACTGACCGACACTGAGATTTTTGGCCACACTATTAGTTATGTGCGACGAGATATGAAAACGAGTAGATTTTTACAAACTGATATCAAATTTCCATCACAAATAAATTATTTATACAGCAAAATCTGCTTTACATGGTTAAAAATCGCATAGTACTTATGTACATCGATCACCTAGTAGTGAAGTGACTAAGAAATTTTTCACAGATTGAAGTGGTGCGGAGAATCTTTTCAGTTAAGCCGGAATAAGCTGAACAAAGATCTATCGACAGGAAAAAAATTGTAAGCGCGACGTGAATGAATCACCTTAGTAATTTTGAGCATGGTGTTGCACAGCGTTCCAATCAGGTTGGACTTGTGGTTGCTGGTATCCTCCTTGCGGAACTGCATTATATGCATAAGCCGGCTGTGCGTCGGGTCGTGGAAGGACATTAGGTAACGGCTGAGCTTGAGCAGGGCCGTTCGCGTAGGGCGCTTGATAGACGGGCTGGACTTGCGACGAATTCGGAGGGTAGTTCACTGCAGCCTGAAAATAAACTATCTAAGGCAACGTTCATGAGTTCATTTTTTGCAGTTTACTTAACATTTGTGTAGTGGAACGCTTTTAGATCGTGCAATTCTATGATAAAATGTTTGCGAAAGAAACGTCCCGCGAGGCGTGGGAAAAATGTTGTGTTTGCCTTTCGTTCCTTCTTATTGTCATCATTCTTGTTCGCTCACCTTCATTACCATTATTCGTTGCATTTAGTTTCACATTTGGTCGTTCTAGCTCAAATTTTTGGACCTAATTTGGATCGCGTTTCTTTTAGCGATGAGTATGAGACACTAGCCACCTTCGTATGGGACTTCTTGAAAAAACATAGAAACTCTGATTAATAGTAAAGTGAATGTGCCCAGTCACTTTAATAGACGCGAACTACGAGTAGCGGCGATTGCTATTTTACGACGGCAAAGAGTGCCATGTAGCGGATAGCAGGGTTTTTCGCGTGTGCGCCACCTTGTGGCGCACGCCCTCACACAGGGTAGGAATTGAGGGGTTAAAACGGGGCTAAGGCATGTTTCCGTGTCTGATCTTTCAAAAAAAGAGATTCCGTTGACGACAACTTCGTAACCGCCTTTCCGCTCTAAAACTAGGGTGCAAAGAATGAATGGAAGCTGTAGGTGACATATCGAAAAATGCGAAACAACAACCCCGAGCGAGGAAGTGGCTATTTTTAAAGATGAGGTCTCGAGAGCATAAACCAGGGGTATGCCATTCATCAAGCAGAAAAGTTGGAAAATAAGAACAAAAAGAATATAGTGAATTTGTTGAAATGCAGCGTCTATCGGCTTCTGGAGACTACCGGCGCCCTTCAATGATTAGTACCTTCGTGCAACTTGCAGGCCCCGAATGCGACTGATAGGCATTCGCAGACCGGGGTGGCTAAACTTCTCTGATGAAAGGTGAACATTACGTGTATTTCTAAGCATTGTGGCTCTTGAATTTCGATGCGCCTTCACGTTGAATGGTCCCACGGCCCCCTTCCTTGGCTAATTCTATGTGCACATTGCACAAATTTCTTGCTGTTCATCGCTTCTTCTGAGAGGCGAGCGCATATTGTATTCTTCCCGCCTGCAGAGGTCCCAGAAGATATAAGATTACTATGAGCCTTACAGAAACACCAGGACCATCATGGCACCATGTAGCGCATGTCGCCCGTTACGTGATAACTCTACTTGGGAAGCGCAAGGTTACCCAGCTTCACATTACTGTGAACCTATTGTTTTGACTTGGCAATACACCCTTTTTCAGAGCTATTTGCATCTTTCGTTAGGCGGACGGAAAATTCCGCAAAATGTGAACCGTATTGTTTCGTCCGTGTCAGAATGGGTGAATGGTCGCCGTCCCTAGCATATAATTTCTCCAAAATTTAAAGAGTAACACCCGAAAAAAGCTAAAGGATTCATATCGGCAAACAAATAAAAAGAAAACCTGTAAACATTTCTCAATCTCTTGAGAATTTTGAGATTGGAATTCCGATATCTGACTTGCGCGAGATTATGATCAATCCAATGATAGGCATTGACAAAGTCTATAGCTGAACTCACATTTGGCGGCATTCCAGGGTTAGGTTGGGGCATCGCTACTCCTGGGGCGTTCATAACGGGAGGAGGTTGGTAAGCCTAAAAGATTTCAGACAATTAATCGACATACGAGATAAATCAGTAAATAGTTCAACAAAAATTCGATAAAATAATGCGATGACGCGCTCAATTACTGCAATAAGGACATGCGGAACAAGAAGAAAAATCAAGCGCTTTTATGAAAACATTACCTGGTAATGGGCTTTTTGCACAGCCTCGTCATATAACGCTAGAACATCTCGTATCGCCATATCAACCTAAAAATAGCGCTTAAAACATATAACAACTAAATGGAGAAATTCTTAACTGGACTTGATGCCTTGTTATAGTATTGAGAATTGGAAATGCATGCTTTCGCGGAACCCACAAAAACTCAAAGCTAACCTGAGAAAGAGCATTCACTTGCGCATCAATGGCTGCTAATCGAGCGTCAATCAGCGGAGCTTGTGCACGAGATGCTTGTTCAATCTTAATGTCCAAAATTAGAAAGGTGGTTCCAAGAACACTCAAATGTGTCAGCAGACAATAGAAACCTGCAAAAAATAATAGAAGCATTAAAAACTTACTCTAGCCAGCTCTGGCGGATCAGGAGTATCACCAGTAGGATCACAGTCTTCAAGCATTTGGATACAACGCAACAATACTGACTCGTCAATGGTAGCTGGGGCAGCCGGAGCTGCTGTTGCTACGGAAGTGGGTTCAGGCTGCAAGTTAAGAGTATTGAAAAGCAAAAATAATTATATTTCCCAACAAACAGCAAGTGATGACTGAGCCACTTTCTGCACTTGTTTGCTCTTGAACACATCTACTCATCCAATCACTAATTCCCCACATTTAGGGAATGCTTAGCTCAGTTCCTTTATCATTACCATTACGGTTGACAATGCATTTCTGGTAGAAGAAACTAACCTTTACTTCCGAGAGGTCCGACGTAACAAAACTGGAGGGAAAAAGTCCCTGCTGGACACCGATGCGGCCACACCACCAATTTGGATTACTGAAGAATGAAGCTATTGAAACTCGCAGGATGTGGTATCAAATTTATGAACAAGCAACAGAGGGATGAAGAA